ATTTTTAAACATATAAGCTCATCCCGATGTTACAATTATCAAGAGCTTTCATTTGAGTACCCACATGCATTTTTATATATTTTTCATATATACATATATATGATATATGTAAATATATGAAAAATTGATGTGGGTACTCAAATGAAAGCTCTTGATGAGTGTAACATCGGAATGAGCTTATATCGTTAAAAACATCATTAGTTAACAAAATTCAACCGTAATTCCTTAATTCTTTACATTTTCATAAATATAAGTTCATTCTGATGTTACACTCATCGAGACCTTTCATTTGAGTACCCACATGCACTTTTCATATATTTTATAAATATCATATATATATGAAATATATAAAATATATGAAAAATGCATGTGGGTATTCAAATGAAAGCTCTTGATGACTGTATCATCGGGATGAGCTTATTTCTTTAAAAACGTCAATATTTAAAAAAGTATGGTACTAAATTTTATTTATTTATAGTTCACAAATCACGGCAGTCACATAATAGTGACTGCAAGGTTGCTAGTAAATATTAATGTAAAAAAAAATTCCTCCAAGCCGGGCATTTGTTTATAATAAATAATAAAGCAGTATAATAATATTTATATTTAATTGAGTAATATTTTCAGACAAGAGAAAATGCTCTTCAGTTACTCATCTTCTCGTTGGATCAGTTTCCAAGTACTGAGTTCAAAGTCGAGAACGTTGCTAACAAAGTGGCTTTGATGGTCGGAGATAGAAGAAGACGAGTTCGGCAAGCGGCTTTAGATACTCTCGCAGTGCTTGCACAAATTTACGAGCCTGAGGTAACGTCAAAAGACTTTATTGTCCGTGTTATATACATATATATATATATACTTGTACCTACGTCTTTCCGGGCTCTCCGATCTTGGACTCGAACTCAACTGGACTTAGACTCGAGTAGACTTTACTTGGTCGAGCTCCCAACTCCCTCGCCAGTTCTTTTATACAACCTTTTTTTATTGCAAAAATAAAATTTTTCCAAGGAGGTTCTTCAAGCCGGCCAGAGAGCAGCTAAACAACTGAAAGAAAGCTCTGATATGGTTGCTGCTATTCGTGCCAGACTTGCGAGAAAATCACTTCCGACGGTTACTCCAGACGGTCTTGTTGTCTACGGTCTACAAATTTCTCCGACTGTCCAAATTGCCACTGGTTTTATTCTTTTATATTCTTCTTTATTTTATTTTACTTAATCCGTAAATTACACCTTTATTTTAACTCTTCTCTCATCCTCTATAGGTCCAGATGTCGACTGGATCGTCGCTGGAAGCGGCTCAGTTTCTCCTGGAACTGGAAGGGTCCGCGGACAAATAATTAATATGTACCCTCGAGCTAATTTCGAAAAGATTTCGGAAAAGTAAATTCATTTATTTAATTATCATCTTCATCCCGATTAATTGCTAAATAAATATAATAAATAAATTTATTTTATTAAGAAATAATACGGAAGAAAATTATCCAAGTCATGACGGAAACTTAGCAGCTCGTGGTATTGGATTACATCCAAAAAGTGGGAAACCTGTGGCATGGCAATTAGTATCGGCCGCGAGCAAAGTAAGCAATTGAAACTTTTCTTTACTTAATTATTAGTTTTGTTTTTTTTTTTGTTTATACTTTTTACTGCGACTTGGTTAGCACTTCATACCACTCAGTTAAACAACTCAGAAAATTATTAAATTATCTATTAATAATGTTTTAGTATTTATTTATTTATTCTTCTGCGAATTGATCATATTTATTGGTTGACTTAATTATTTTGAATAATGTTTGAATTATGATAAATAATTACTCGTGGTTTTACGATTTTTATGAGGTTATTTGTTTATTTTTTTAGATTTATTTTTGGGATTTAAGTATTAAATTTATTTATTTTTTAGGATGAAAATAAAGTGATAAATGGAAATCATACGGATAAAAATTCATTTAAAAGTGATGGTGAGTTTTTAATTAAGAAAAAAATTTTTTTTTTTATTACTTAAAAGATATTAATTTTTAATTAAGTTAACCCTCATATTTTTTTAAGATTTTTATCGTTATATTGAAGAAAATTTTATTAAAAAGTATTATTTAAATTTTTATTAAAAAAATTCTTAACAATTTTTATTAAAAATATTATTTAAAAATTTTTAGTTAGAAAATGATTTTTGTTAAAAATTGTTATTCAAAATTATTATTAAAATTTTATTAAAAAAATTATTTAACAATTTTTATTAAAAATATTATTTAAAAATTTTTAGTAAGAAAATGATTAAAAAAATTTTATTAAAAATTGTTATTAAAAATTATTATTAAAAAAATTATTTAACAATTTTTATTAAAAATATTATTTAAAAATTTTTAGTTAGAAAATGATTTTTATTAAAAATTATTAAAATTTTTATTACGAAAATTTTATTAAAACAATTATTTAACAATTTTTAGTAAGGAAATGATTAAAAAAATTTTTATCAAAAAAATTATTTTATAGATAAATTTTTGAAAAAAAATATTGAAGCTTAAAATATTAATTTAAAATCAAAAATCTCAAACTAAATATTAACAGCATCAAATAATTTCAATTTCAACCAATTTAAAATAAAATTTATTAATTTATTGTACACTAATGAGATTACTAGTAAATAAAAATAAATAAAATTTAAATTGTAAAATCTTTGTTGAGTTAATAAAGTTATTTACTTTATAGGAAAATCCCTTTAATTTTTATACTTGCCGGGGTTAAGGGTTAATTTAATCCCTTAAATATCATTAAAAGTTTAGACGGGTTCGATAAATTAAGATAAAAGTACAACATAAAATAGTTATTTATTTTTGAACTTAACGAGAGTAAAATTTTTATTTCCAAAAGAAGCTATAAATAATTATTGAAGAAATTCAAAATTATAATTTTTATAATAATTAATTAACAAATTTCAGGAATCAATGGCAACATTAAGAAGGGTCTAGAAGATTCACCCAGTCCTTTTATATCATCACTGGACAGTATCGAGGATTCTTACGGGACTGAAGCGGTAAACATATCACTTATAAAAGATGAAAAGGACGTAATAATGAAGCTAAGAAAAACGGAAGAAAATTTCCATCGACGAATGGACGAAATTTATTCGGAGCGACCGTATCAAGATATAATAAGACTTGAGTCACGAATTCCCGTCGCCCAATTTCGTGATCGTGATATAGTTGTGCGACATAGTACAGCTTACTCACGTAGACGTCGTACAGTTAAAATGGATGAGTACGAAATTTCATCTTCAGCCCCGCAAAGTTCTTATGGTCAGCGTGACGACGAGATTAACCGGAGATATCGGAGTGATAGAATTAAACGAGAGTCAAGAGGAGGCTCTGACGACCGGGGGGAGTTTATTTCATCCAACCGAGCTTCACCTCAAGTGTCTCCGAGCCGCGATACCACGTAACTTTATTACTCTTTTACTCCAACATTTATTCTGCCATTAAATATTATCTTAATGCCTGCTTTTATTTTATTGTTTTATTGAATTTATCTTTTTTTACTGTCACAGATCTATTCCTGTTAACCGTCGACGTCATACTGCCATTCAGAGTACGAGTTTTCACCCACAAAAATATGGTTTTTCTTCTACTGTGAGTATTTATCACGTTTATTAGATTTTTTAATGAAAATTAATTCTAATTTTTTAGAAATATTTAATTAATTATTTGTTTGAAAAAAATCTTTTTTTAATTTAATTATTTATTCACAAAAAATTCTTTTAATAGTTCATAAAAAAATCTTTATAGAAAATTTATTAAAATGCTTTTTAAAATAAATAGTTTATTCAGGAATTTTTAATAAAAATTTAAAAATGAGGTAAAAAAAAATTAATTGAAATTTTTTATAAAAATTTATAATTGTTTAAAAAATTATTTGTATTTTATTAATTTATTCACAAAAAATTATTTTTAATAATTCATAAAAAAAATCTTTATTTCAAATTTATTAAAATACTTTTTAAAATTAATATTTTATTTAAAAATTTTTAATAAAAATTTAAAAATGAGATACAAAAAAATTAATTAATAGTTTATAAAATTACAAAAATTATTTTTAATATTTTCTAAAAAAAATCTTCATAGAAAATTTATTAATGCTTTTTAAAATAAATATTTTATTCGATAATTTTAAAGAAAAATTATAAAATTAGTTACAAAAAAATTAATTACTTAGAATTATTTAAAAAAATTTTTTATACAAATATTAAATTCATCATTTATTTAAAAAAAATATTTTTTGTTTTAATAATTTATTTACAAAAGATTTGTTTAATAGTTCATAAAAAAATCTTCATAGAAAATTAATTAAAATGTATTTTAAAATGAATATTTTATTCGGTAATTTTTAAGAAAAATTAAAAAATGAGAAAAAAAATTAATTAAAATTAAAAAAAAAAATTTAGAATTATTTAAAAAATTTTCAATAGAAATATTAAATTCATCATTTCTTTAAAAGAAATATTTTTTATTTTAATAATTTATTCACAAAAAATTATTTTTAATAGCTCATAAAAAAAATTTATTTGAGTGTTTTTCAAAATAATTATTTAATTAAATAATTTTTAATAAAATTTTTTGCCACCATTAAAAAACTCTGTAAAAATTATTCACTTTTTAAATAATAAAATCCCGGCTATTTTTGTAAGTAAAAATTTCAATAAAAGTTTTTCTTCAAATAAAAGAAATTTTTAGTTTAGAAACGCTGAAGTTTATTTAGACGCAGTAAAGTCATCCAGTAACTTTGATAATAACAGTAACTGATATCTTAAAATCTTGACTCGGTATCAGATTTTCAGGGTGTCAAGATCACTGAGAAACAACTCTGGTTTAATCTCATAAGATTCAACTGGAATTTCATCGGTTTCTGTACGATTCAATCCAAGTTTTTAATTAGTTACGAGTTTGATCTTTCCACGTGAAAGACAGCGCTATAAATTCGATAATAGTTACCTTCAACAATACAACTTTCATTATTCTTCTTTATATTTTCATTAATTATTAACTTTACAACCAATATTAAGTAAATTGTTTGCGCTTTTTATTTTTTAAATTTACCAGAAAAAATTTGAATACGATATTACTTATGACTTAGTAATTTTTGCTATCGAAAGAGTAATTTTAAACTTTAAATAAAAAAGAATCGCTGGATTTTTAAAGTTTCTAGCTTGCTCAGTAGAGTAATTTTTTTAATATTTTTTTCTTCTCAAGAAAAAGTTTGAGTTTTAGTAAATTATTAAATGTTAAATAATCAAGACCACAACTGGATAGGTATGCTGAAAAAGGCTTTAAGCTAATTAACTTAATTATTTTTATAAAAGGTTCTATTGATAAAACTTTACCCGTAAATTATTGAATCGATTTTATAAATAAAAATTTTAATAAATGACCGAAAAAAAAATTTTTTGATTTCTTCTTATAAAATCTACCGCTGATAGTCTTAAGAATGTAAATTTTATCGGAAATTCCAGTTTTTTTTTTCTTTTGTAATATTTATCCATCACTTTAACAGCAATTCGTGGAATTTTTGTTAGCTTCTTTTACCGCAAGATTCTTATCAATTCATTAGTTTGGAATGAAAAATTCTGAAAGTGACTTTTATTTAGTTTTTTACAGAAAAATTATTCTTTTTTTATCCTTACAATAATGAAAATAAATGTATTTTACAATTTTATAATCTATATTATTAAGAGAGTAAGAAAAATTTTGTGTCCAGGATAGTCATATGATAAAAATGGTTTTTTTAAGTGAAATTTAGTGTCATTGCAAAGGTCTTAACTTCAATCTGTGCTTTTTCAAGGTTTCATATCATTCACACCGATACTCAATTTATTATGATAAGTATTTATTGAGTACCCACATCAATTTTTCATATATTTATATATATCATATTTATGAATATATGAAAAATATATCAAAATGCATGTGGGTACTCAAATGGAAGCTCTTGATGAGTGTAACATCGGAGTGAGCTTATATCTTAAGAAACATTAAGAAACATTAACAGTTAAGAAAGTACAGTGCAATTTAACAAAAGTCATTTTTTAATAAAGCAAAATTTTATTTATATATAGTTCACAATAGAGAGTCAATTTATTATGATAAGTATTTAGGCTGCATTCGAAAATGACCTTGTATCTTGTGATCTATTGACATTTTTTAAGATATAAGCTCATCTCGATGTTAAATTCATTGAGATCTTTCATTTGAGTACCCACATCAATTTTTCATATATTTATATATATTATATACATGTATATATGAAAAATATATCAAAATGCATGTGGGTACTCAAATGAAAGCTCTTGATGAGTGTAACATCGGGATGAGCTTATATTTTTAACAACGTCAATAGTTAAGAAAGTACAGTGCAATTTAACAAAATTTATTATTTAATAAAGCAAAATTTTATTTATTTAGAGTTCACAAGTCACGGCAGTCACATAGTGACTGCAACGTTGCCAGTTAAAAATATGAAATAAAATTTACTTCATATATATACCCTTCTAATTTTTTCGTCTCGTTGACCAGAAAGTAGCGCTGCGCCGTGGAAAAATCACAAACTAAACTAATTTTTTCTATGAATAATTTTCCCTTAAAAACCATAAATTTATGTAAAATTTAAAGTAACTTTACGCGATATTTAGTCACAAAACATTTTGAAAAGTACTTGAGATTTAGCAAAGTAGGCAACTTTAAATCTCTGGACTTATTTACCATGTTTTAACCCTCAATTTTCATAGTATCTGCAACGCATATTTCCAATCATTCTATATACTCGCTTTTATCTTTTTTATATCCTACCTCACACAGAATTTTAGCCCTTGGATCATAAAAAATTTTACGAGTTATTCTCTAGCTTATAAAACATTTACCTTGCTATTATTTCGAATTTAAAAAAAAATTTCCTATAAAAAAAAAATTCTTCAACCTTTAAAAATATTTTTTTAATAATTAAAAATTATTTTCATTGAATTAAAAAATTTTAAGGGTATTGAAAAAGAATAGGAATACTGAACCGTTAAATTTATATCTAAAAACTACAATAAAAATCCTTTTAAAATATCTATCAGCAGATATAATAATAAAATGATTGAACTATCGAGTAATAAAAAATTGACTAAGTAAATTGAATGGTTATCCGAAGGTATAACTCAAAAATAAAAATGACTAATAAAAAATTTATTTTATCCAGATCGAATCGAGATGTAAATCAGTGCCAGCGTCATACCAAAGCCCATTCACGGGAGTCCAAACAATTGATTCTTATTCAAGAATTTCCAGCTCGCCGATGGTAATAAAAATGTATGTAAGAAGCTTGAAAAAAAAAAAAAAAAAAATTTCTATAATAATTTAAATATTACCATTAATAATAAAATTTATTCAGACCATTTAGCTTTTATTACAATCACAGCTATAAAAAATAATAAAAATAAACTCTTGCTATATTGAAGCTCAGTTTACTCCGTAATAATGGTTATTGTACAATCGCGTGTTTGATATGAATCCGATAGATAAAAATATATGAACTAGCCCCTAAAAATCAAGGGAGAGTACAGTGACTGCTATTAGAGGGTCGACAAATATTTCAATGCCTTGGCCCAATTAATGCCGCCGATAATCCGAACTAGAGGTTAAATTCCGTAACATAAATGTAATTATTTAAAAATTTATACTCGCAATTTTGTCTTTGCTATAGCTCGATACAATTATGCCGCCAAGGACTTTTATCACTAGCTCGTTTGCTCTAGAGCTTTTTAACTCTATATTTGTAATTTATATATTTTTAATGCACCCAACATTGTTGAGTAAGGTGTTCAGTAACCATTTATCGAATATACATTACCTTTATATTAAAGATACTTGGATACAGCGGTGCGCCCTGAAATGGACATAGACATGTAGACATGCGGGACCCATTAGGTTGAATCGGCACCTCTTATCGTACGTTCCTCTTCGCTGAATAATTTACTCTGCTGTTATGTAAGGCCTACCCGGTTACCAGGCTCACGGGCTTACTTCCTATCCATGTGTTCGTTTTTTTCTACTCGATATCGCCGTTCAGGAACTACCGTTTTTTTTGTTTACCTTTTTTTTTATTTATATTCAGTCCGTCGGGAATATCGATCGACTTAAATATTCAATTGACTCTAAATATTTGCTTTACTTTTATTTATTCTATTTATATTTATTAAGTATTTATTTCTTGGGCCCTTTTAATTTATTATTTAAATTTTTCTGAGAGTATAGATTAGAAATTTAGATTTATTCTGTAAAAAAAATTATTATATTTTTCAGGGTCTAAAAAAAAATTTATTTTTAGAGTAAAAATTAAAATATATTGATTGAATTGAAAGAAAAAAAAAATTGTTGATAATTTTTAAAATTTTACAATAGATAATTTTTACTAAAAAAAATTTTAATAAATTATTTTTTATCAATTTAATAAAATAAAATTGTTATTCATTTACAGATAATTAGTTTTAGTGAATTCAGTTTTGTAAAAAAAATTTTTTTTGGGGTCGCGTTTATTTGAAATAAAAATTGAAATATATTGATCGATCTCTGGGCAGAAAAAAGCTCCCGATAGCGCGCTGAGAAACATTCGCCTTCGCCTCGATCAGATCCTGGACCAGCTCGTTATTGTTGTAGGCGATGGCCAAGTGCAGGGCACTGGCGCCCAAGTACTCCTCGCCTTCAACCGCGTCGATGGCCAGCCGAGGGAAGCACTTTATCAAGACCCGGGCGATCCTGGTGTGAGTCTTTGTGTCGCAGATTATCAGAACGTGGAGAAGAGTCTCCCCAAGGGAGCCGCGGTACTGCATTTGCCAGCAAGCCTCGTGGTCAGTCCACCTGGCCAGGGGGTCGAACCTCGACAAGGAGGCCTCGATGGGCAGCACAACCTGCTCCAGGTCCCGGAACTTCCACCTGAGATACTCGGCCCGGTTTATCGTCTGACCCTTGCCGTTGTTGTACATCAGAATGCCGAACTGCCCGCGGATAACTTGCTCGACCTCGGATTGTCCGCCGCGGTTGAACGCCTCGATCAGTTCCCCGCCTTTCTTGTAATTGGCCAGTCGGTAGAGCAAACACTGGTCCTCATCACTGGCCTGGCTGATGACCCGGTCCAAAATTGACCCCGCGTTGATCTGACTGTCCTTACTGCGACAGGCACACACGTTACCCATTCAAACATAATTGGTCGTGAACCGCACTTTTGAGATATCAGGTTCTTCAGGCTCTGATTCAGCAGGCTTCAATGATTGTTAACGAGGGAATGAATGCTTCCCTTTAAATTGTCCCCGAGTTTAAATGATTCGAATCGGAGGGAAAGTTTTAGCACAAAATCAAGGCGAAGTCGAAGTTTAAGGGTTACGTGGAAAGGAAATTCGATATGCGGTTCAGTTCTAGTATCACTTGGACACGAGGACGGAAAAAGGAGGTCAGTTAAGGCCATTTGTTGGTCGGAAGTTGATAGATAAGTAAATTCTCTTGAGACGGAGCGAGGCCGAGGGTGGTTGTATTTTGGTGTGTAAAACTGAGGGTTTACTGAGCGAAGGATGCATTAGAACTGGTGTCTAGTGCCCTCGAGACGGGTAAGGCCGCATGCAACTTACTAAAAGCTTTTCTGTGCTATAGCAACCAGCGAATCTATAAACTGTACCTGGTTCCGAGTGATACCAGAGGGTCACTAGGTGATGCTGATGTTATGAACTCATTCTCCTTAATAAACGCTTTTATTGAACGTTTTGTTTTGTTGTCAGACTCGTTTTTTTTTTATTTTTAAATTTGTCGAATAATTAAATTTTTTTCGATTTAAAAATTTTTGAAATGCACGGAAACTGTAATATTCACTCGGATTCCGGTTAATTTTTACAGTTTCAAATAGTAAAGCGGACATCAGGGTGGCAAAAATATAAATATTACAGAACTTAATGTAGAAAGTATAAAAGCCACAATTTATAATTTAATATCCAAAATAAGTGATTAGTAGCTGTCACTATAGTAAATAACGACTCTTTCATCTTAAAAAATTACAGTTTCAAACAGTAAAAATTGTCATTTCAATATATAGTCGATATTATGAGGAGAAGGGAAACTCAGATGAAAGGGAAGGGGGTCTCACTCTGGGAGAATTTAACATTTAAAACAGTAAAAATTATACTTTTAACATATACATTTTACAAGCCCAAGCAAGTCAATAATTACAGTTTAATTTTTAGCGTTGCGTTTAAAATTTACCATTTTACTTTGTAAATATTGACGTTGCTTATATTAGAAATTTATTAACTTTATTTTATACTTTTTACATATCATAAGATCATTTTTTAGCTACGAAATGATAGTAAAATCACGATTTTACTGTTTGAAATGGTAATTTTTAGCAGTTGATCATTACTTATTATAAATCGACTGTTATTTATTACAGTTTACTTTTTTCCGGGTGGATTTACAAAATAAAATATGAAAAATACGTTTTAAAATTGGTTTAAAAATTTTTAAGAGGGATAAAAGTTTAAAGAAATAAATTAAGAATACTTATACAGTTTAAATAATATAAGATAAAAAAATTATTTGAATAGTTATTTTGTACTTTTTGGGATGAGTATATAAAAAAAAAATAAAAATTTTAATTCAAACTATTTTTGAAAAAGTTGTGATCGAAAATTCCTAAAAGAAGGATTTTTTTTGATAATTTAATATATTTTAAATGTGTAAAAAAAATATCTCAGGATTTACTAGAGCTTTTTTTGCCAATAAAAAATGTAAAAAAATTAAAATTTGTTAAATGATAAATATATAAAATTGATATATTTAAATATGTCTTATCAAACATGACGTTTCACATCTCTTTTACGGCCAATTAAATAATTACTTAAATTTAAAATTGCTGGATAACACCGATCTTTATTATAAATATTTGAAAGCTGATTCAAGCTTCAAGTCATTCCATAAAAAAAAAGAAATTAATTTTTTTACCGAGAGCTTTTAAGAAATAAATTATTCAAAATTCTCTTCATATCTGTAAGCTACTTTTATAATGATAACATGAATTATTTAGTAGACGACTCGTATTGACCTGACACTACCTAAGCGGACCCGAAATTTTTCACTGCATTTAAAATTATTTGTTCTGCAGATATCGTAAATTTTTAATTAATCTCGATAAGCCGGTTATCGAGAGAAAAAATAAACTGAATACGAAAAAAAAAAATTAAATAGTTGATTTTAACATAAGTGGCTTGAATTTTCTTTCCAAGTAATGATAATTGACAAGGAAAAAGAAAAGTCATATTAAATCGAACTCCCGAAAATCGATAGCCGTACGGATTATGAATTAATAAAAATTCAAATTGGTTTTACGGATTTACATTCTTTAACGAAACAATACCTTTGTTTAAATAATTCTATTGAAATCTCGGGAAAAACGAACAAGACAATAATTAAATAAATCAATAAACAATAATCATGGAGAAAAAAGCTCTTTGTTTCGTATTTCCGGTAAAATATTACATGGACAATTGTTTTTATTTTTATTCTCCAGTATTATTTATGAGTAATTGAATACTGAATTGAGATTAAAGTTTTAAAGATTAAAAAAAAAATCAAAGGACTATTTTTGTGGAAAATTAAATTTTCTTTAAAAAAAAAAATGTAACTCAATATTTAAATTATTAAATTTACAATTTCAATATATAATTTTTTTTATAACTTTGTGATTGGCGTAAGCTCTTTAATAGTAAATAAATTAACAAATGTATGACTGTATAAATTTATCTTCTTTATGCCAATCGACGTTGATATAATAATTGATAAAATAATAAACGTATGTAATAAAATAATATTTCTAGAAACTTCTAAGTGAATCATCGCCTTGGAGAAAAATAAACCTCCGTTGTCATGTCATGCATATTAGTTTTTTTTTTTTTATTTTTAACATTATACATTCTTCCACGACATTAATATGATAAGATTATAGTTACTCACATTTATTATAATACTAGACATGAATATTTTAAAACACGGAGATAAATTGACCCGGAAAAAATTTTTCTTATTCTTCTAAAAAATAAAAACTTATAATAAAATACAATGATTGACTTAAAATATTTATTGTCATAGACTTCTCGATAATTATTGTTGAGATTGAGTTTTAAAAATATGTCTTAAAAATCCTTGAATAAATAACTCCAGTTTCTTGAAATATTTCTTTATCTAAAAATATTTTTTTCATTATATCGGATCATCCTTCATTAAATCCCTTTGAAGTTTAAAGACCTAAATTTTTAAGTTTCAAGGACTTATTCAGTTCCCGAAGGAATTTTTCAATAAAATACTCAAGACGAACTAAAGAAGATAATGGCATTCCTTTGTTTAGTTTATTTTTATTTTTAT